CTATCTCCTCCTGTGCTACCATCCCCTCCCTCCTAGATTGTAAGCTTGAAAAGAGCAGGGCCCTCGATCCCCTCATGTTTTGCATTGTATTGGTATTGTTCTGTCACATGTTCTGTCCCCCTTTGTAATGTACAGCGCTGAGCGAACTATTGGCGCTTTATAAATACTGTATAATAATAATATAATAATTACAAAAAGAGGGGAGGGGGAGAGATGAGTAACAACCATAATGTAGCATGTAAAGTGTAATTTTAATGGAAAGTGTAAAAAAGCACTCACAAAGTTAAAAAGGAGCGCAGCATGATAGTCAGGTAGCCAGAATGGCAACCAGGATGCCTTGCCTTGGCCACCAGCAGCTCTTGGTGATGACACAGAAATTAAGTGATGGGGGATACCCCTTGATGGAAGTGGAAAGGGAAAAAGCAAGGATTTTAAATAAAAAAAAAGAGCAGAATTGCTGGAAGGTCAAGTGATACAGATGGATGCTTCATGCATACCTTTTGTGTCGCAATTCCATCACTTTTTGGGCAAGATATTTAATGTTATAAAAAAATACACTGGAAGTTGTTGCAGTGAAACTATTCTGAAATGGAAGAGTTTCAACATCCCCCTTTGATATCACAGTCTCTGATAGTTCTAGGTTCTAAACAAAATGGATCTTTTCCATGCATGTCCTGTGTACACTGCTCTGACATTTGTTTTGTTTTGCACACCCACACACAGGCAGGAAGATAGACATTAAGGCTTCATTGAAACCAGATGTGGTGGACTATATTGGGAGGCTATTCCAGTGCAGCCCCATGGCATAACAAGGCAAAATGCCTTGTCACCCGTGTGACTGGTTCACACCACTGTGTGTACAGGCAGTATTCGCTGAAAAAAAGTACTGCACGCAGTACATTTTTTCAATGCAGCACAGTGCAAGCAATCCACTGCCTCACACCACTCAACAGCCATTTGAACTTAATAAAATGCATGTGTGACATTTCAAATAATTTTTTAAAAAATGAACAGTGTGATGCACCAAGATTGGTGCATCAGCACTGTGGTAATCCCAGAAGTGGCTGGTGAGGATAAGAAGGGCACTACACTTGTCAGAGCTCTTTTGTGGTTTATATGTTAAAATGACCTGTTCCCTTTTATACTACATTAGGGGAACAACGCAGATAATGAAAGAAGGACTATTGCAATATAAATCCTCACTGTGGGCACATTGGCTAGAGCTCCCTGATGCAAAGCATTTTGCTATGCATAGATATTCCATTTTGCAGCTCAGATTTATAATTATTGATCATGTTCCTAGATTCCAGATGGGTGGCAACAGGAAACTACAGCTGAAATGCAGAGAGGTAAATGGATAGCTGAGCTGGGCACAATACAGCCCAAAGGGGCACATGCTGATTTGGATGTATTCCTATTTCTGTGAACTTTATCAGTAATTCTTTTATGTGAATTTTTTACAGGTCATACTGTGGATGGAGAATAGGGAGCAGACACCAAAATGATTAGTTTCCAATACATTGTAATTATTAAATGAAAATCATATTTATCAGATGTATCCACAGGTGTGACATGCTGTAAGTTGCAATTAACATTCAAGGGTGAGTTTGCGAGGTGCTGATGAACTACTATTGTGCACCGTTTTTCTATTGGAACAGAGGGTATAGCTTCTGAACTGCACTCTTTAGCATTGGATTGGAGGTGAGAGCTCCCTGCATTTTATATATATATATATATATATATATATATATATATATATATATATATATATACTGTATATATATATATATATATTTCAATTGATCTACTGTAATTTATTTTAAGCCACTTTAGAAGATGCATCCAAAACTGATTCATACTGGGGGGGGTAGAGAATTGGAGTAATTGAAGATCACAAAAGTATTACCCTAGTATTTGTACTGCACTTTGAACACAACAGCCATAGTAGTGATAGTATTGTAATATACATTATCATAAAAAAGGACCAAACTACTGGATATCTTTCACTTGAAATTTGTTTTCAGAGAGTTTCCCACATCTTAAGTAAGTGGCTTAAATTTTATCCAATAAAATGGCCTTTGCATATAAAATCTATACAGGAAAATGAAAACTATCAAAGATCAGTTGCACTGGAATGCCACTCAGCTTTATTATACTGTATATGGTATTTTGCCACAGTAGCTTCCTTTTATTTCTCTTCTGGTATGACCCACTTTGTGACCTCTGATTGAAAAGTGTCAGTTTGCTTATTTGTAAAATGGCTTACTACTCTACCCTGGTATGACCTGCTTCATGGATATATCATGGATTCTAATGGAAAAACATTTGTTTCTTTTTTGTAAAACAGATTTCTAATGTACTACACTATTTTTGGTATGACCCATTGCATAACATTTCTGAAAAATTATTAGTAGTTTTATGGTAACAGGATAAGAATGTCAGTCTTATCTTAACTGCTATATGATGCTTAACCACTTCCTGTCTGGCCCATGTACATAATCAGCCGGATGGGAGAAGTGCAGGAGCGCACTGCCTGTGCGCACTCCCTGGGACAAAGCGGAACACCGATCACTGTTTGGGACCTCTGTGTGAGAATTGGCCAATCAGTGATCACATGATTAGTAGTAAGCAAGATGTCACTTGCTGACATCATTGATACTATTTGTGAAATCTGGGAATGATCATAGAGGTCACATGGTACAGGGCTATTCACAACATCCTTGCACCATGTGACAAGCTTTGACCAATCACAGCTCTCACAGTATTTCTCAATGGCTGCAAGAATGCAGCCAAAGAGAAGGAGAAACTATTGCTTTTACAGCCTTTATGGGTGTAAAAGCAATAAGTGTAAAAAAAAATAAAAATCTTCATCAACCCCCACAAGTAGTATAGTGTCATTATGGTGACACTGTACTGCTAGGGTGACAGTATATTAAAAAACATAAATAATAATAATATAAAAAAATAAAATTAAAATTAAAACAAAAATTGAAAAATTATAATTTTTGGTTATAAACTAATTTGTTTTTTTTTTTTTTTACTAAAAAGATACAGGGATACATTTTGGCTAAGATTTATGAAGAAAGATTATTTATTTGCAAAATTTTATAAGAAAAACACTTTTTAGTCAAAATGTTTGGACTTTTTCATTCATATAGCAAAAAAATTAAAATTCCACTGGTGAATAAATACCACCAAAATAAAGTTTTATCTGTCTAAAAAAAAAATGCTAAGCAATTCATATGGGTATAGTGTTGCCTGACAGCGCGATTGTCATTCAAAGTGTGATAGCGCTGAAAGCTGAAAATTGGCCTGGACAGGAAAGGGTGAAAGTGTCTGGACTTGAAGTGGTTAATAACATATGTTAGACTTCCGGTTCCCGCATCGCATTGGCAAAACATGAGGCATCTTGGCTCCTGTTGGCCCCCCACTAAAACTGCATTATAAAGCCACAGCTCAGGTTCCTAGGTAGACAACTTCCTACTTCCCTCTGGATCCCTATGGCGTGTTTCCTAGATTGCTCAACCCTTCCAAGCATACTCTCTCATCCCAGGGGCTCCCTGAAAGAGAAGGCAACATGAGTCCCAAGATAGCTGCTGGGAGCTGAGGACATTACTGACATATCTCCTCCCCCTCCAGCTCAGCTTGCATCAGATGAGGACTCGGCTCATGTTAGAATTGCTCAGGTGGTTGTTCAACTGCTCACACGCAAAATTGCAGAAGCTGTAGACACAGTTTCTTCAATGCATGGAATTACAAGACCATTTTCATAGACTGCTGTAATCTGAACAATGGTTCTCTGCTGTGGAGGATCAGCTACACCAGGTAACAGCTGTCGTTTCTACTCACAGTGGGCTGCAAAAACCACTGCTGGATAAGGTGGAGGATATGAAGAAACAATCCCACTGGAACAATCTTAAGCCCCATACACATGATGAGAATATTGGATGAATGATCTTCCGTTTTTTTTTTTTTTTACATGCTAGTCTCATATGAAAAGTGAAGAGGTTACTAAAGTTACAAAAATTTGTAAGTGATGTAATGTATTTGTATTGTATTTTTAGACAAACTGAACTGATTGAATGAAAATCATAAAATCTGGTGTTGTACAAGAACAATTTTTGTGCTTGTCCCTTCAAATAATTTTGGCTTAAAGCTCTGTACTATTTTTCATACAATGTTCTGATCGTATCTACTAGGTTTTAGAGTAATCGGTCTGCCTGAGTCCAGTAAATCTGCATCTCTCCCTGGTATTTGCAGCAAGTGCAGCCCTGAATCCCTACAACATTTGTAGTGGAGAGGGCGCACTGGATGGGCACCCCCTCTGAGAACCAGGAAAAACCTAGACCAGCGATCGTACACTAATTGAATTATGCGGACAAGCAAGCCATCTTGCAGCACTACTGAAAAGCTTCTTCCTAGCATAAAGATTTTGCGCCACTTTGCTCTGTGTTATACTAGCACTGAATTAAATTCACCTTAGCCTACCTGGTGGCTTTCTGCCTTCACAAGCTCACAGGAGAGCAGGTTTATTTTACTTCTCTTTCAGATGCTAAGCAATACATGAACTCTATGCTAGTGGAGCCTCAATTTCTCACAATGCTTCTGAGGATATGGATCATGCCCCTCTTCTCAGGCATTTGGCTCTTCCAAGCTGCACAATAGTCCTAAAAAGCCTCCTCCCAAACTGGTGACATATGCTAGCCAAGCCAAACACTCTAAAGCTTGCTGATGATGTAAAAGTTATTTCTTTTCTCCTTAGTGGGGAGCAGGCTTTGTATTGATCTCTGGCGGTATTAATTACCCTACATGCAGGGCTGCCAGGGAGCATAATATCAGTAGTGTGACAGGGATGCATGGAACCAGTATTCCCTGTTCACTCTGCACACTTTTGTACCACGGAGTCATAACCTGGAAGTTACATTTTACAGGTAGTGCAGAGGTGGTGCAGGAGTGAACTGGGAATGCTGTCTTTAGTTTAGGGTGATTAAACAGAACCTGTGCTGCCCTATGTCAGGTGTCCCTAATAGAGTCCCTCTTTTTTTCAGGAGTTCTTCTCAGAGTTCCTCCTTACATCAAAGTTCCTATAACAGTCCCTCCTTACATCAGGTGTCCTCACCAAAGTGCCCCCTTACATCAACTGTCCCCATCAGAGTGTCCCCTTACATCAACTGTCCCCATCAGAGTGCCTCCTTACATCAACTGTCCCTATCAGAGTGTCCCCTTACATCAACTGTCCCCATCAGAGTGCCCCCTTACATCAACTGTCCCCATCAAAGTGTCCCTTTACATTAACTGTCCCCATGAGAGTGCCCTCTTACATCAACTGTCGCCATCAGAGTATCCCTCAGAGTATCTCCTTTTACATCAACTGTCCCCATCAGAGTGTCCCCTTACATCAAGTGTCCCCATCAGAGTCCCCCTTACATGAGGTGTCCTCACCAGAGTGCCCTCTTACATGAACTGTCCCCATCAGAGTGTCCCCTTACATCAACTGTCCCCATCAAAGTGTCCCCTTACATCAACTGTTCCCATCAGAGTGCCCCCTTACATCAACTATCCCCATCAGAGTGCCCCCTTACATCAACTTCCCGATCAGAGTGCCCACTTACATCACCCCCCTAGATCCGGGATTGATACATGCTTGTTATGGGTCTCTGAGCTTTTGCAGTTGCTTAAGATATTGCAGTGGTTGTTCCAATGTAGTTAGAGGACACCAGTCTCTTATCTCTGTCTTTCTGGGGGAGTCATGTGCCTCTATTGAGGGTGCTTAAAACTATGTGTGTTTTTTTTCTTTCACATCCTGGTTCTAGTTATTGGTGCCAGTTTCTTTTTACCACACTCAGAGTATGCAGGGATCAGGGACTAGAAGGCACTGTCTGTATTGATCATCCTATGCAGAAAAAATTAAAGTCCGTATATTGCTGTGAATATTGTTTTGTTGTTATTTTCACTTCTTGGCATTTTTTGTTTTGTTTGCTTTGTATAATGTTCCAAGATCTCATTTAAGTTATAATATTTTATATCTGTTCAGGAGGTTCTTTGCTGCTTCAGTGAGTCTGGGCTCCCCTGCTTATTTGTGGGAGCACATACCACTCTTTCCATACCTATGATTATTTGGTATTTAATATGCAGATTATCTCATGGAACATTAAAAAGGGTTACGTTCCCCATTCAAACGGATGAAGGTGATCTCTGGGCTGACTAACAGGAGAGGATTAGGTCCTCATTTAGGTTGCTCCAATATCATACATTTGGGAATAAATCTGGAAATCTTTCGACTAGGCTCTGCAAGGGGCCTCGCAAGCACATTCATATTATGGCATTACAGGGCTCTAATGGTGTCCTTAGGACTTCACCATCAGAAATAACCTCACTACTAACTGATTATTATCATCACTTATATTCAGAAAACATGATAGATCAGGAGAGGGCTGCTTTTCTCTTGTCCACACTCCATCTGCTTAATGATCTTCTACACAGCTGGATACTTGGAATGCACCAATCTCCTCTATGGAGATTCTTCACACCATAAAACATATAGCCAATAATAATAATAATGTATTCTGCTACATTTTTTAAATTTTATCCAAGACTATATCCAGATACCCTATTGCATGTTTACTGTTTATGGCCATGTGGGAAGGGGGGCTTAGCTCTCTACTGGTTCTCAAGCTGCTACCTAAGAAAGGGAAGGATCCAACCCAGCCGGGCTCATATCGCCCTATATCATTGATCAATGTGGATGCAAAGATGCAAAGATCCTCTCTTCCTGCCATTTGGCCTTTTACATCCTGCACAGGCTGAATTTGTTACTGGTAGATCTGAAGTTATTCTTGCCCTTGAGCATACCAAACTTCATCCACAAGAGGATATAGCTATCATAACTCTTGATGACGAGAAGGCATTTGATAATATCAGCTTTCATTGGTTATTTTGGGTGATGAAGAAATTTGGTTTTCACAGGTCACATGCTAGAATTTGCACAAAAATGTGTTCCTCTCCCACTGCATGACTGATCACTTTAGATTCCATCTCTGACCCCATCTTAATTTTTTCTTTGGCTGTGCCCCAGAGGCATGCCTAATCCTATCCAAAATTGAGATACTGGCGTTAAACCCTTCTAGCTCCAAACTATGGATCCCTTCCTCCTGCAGGTAGCCACACATCACATTACTTACCTGGGACATGAACCTTCTTTCTTGTACCATCTCAGTTACACACATCTAATATCCAAGATTTTTCATGAGCTTGAAAAATGGATGACCCTGCCCATTTCACTATTCAGAAGGTGCCATCTATTTAAGATGGTCACTTTTGCTAGATTACTATATTCCATACAAACTATACCTGTTTTACTTAAACATAGCATTTTGCCCTGCCCTGCAAAGAATGAAGGGGTTAGGAGCTGCCCAATCTGAGACTGTGTGATTTGCCATGTTTACTTTGACAGGACATAGACTGGTTCTTGCATAGCTCAACATAATCCAATTATACTCTTGAGGAGTCCTTAGTGCTCCAGTTCAAATTATCGGCTGTGCTCCACTCTCCACTCCACTCTCCCTAGTTTTGTAAATATAAGCCTGTGTTTGTATTTTTTTTCTCTGGTCAGCCATGATTGTTTCCATTTAATGTGTGACATCCAGAAAATACATTACAGTTTTTTAAAAAAAAAAACCCTTAAAATATGTCAGATTAGACCACTTTACCCACCCTACAGCATCCTCTGTGTATGTGCTATCACAACAGGCTTTTTCTTCCTGCAAGTAGTTGAATGTTGGCATCAATCAAAATAATCATGGCATAGATAAGCTGGGATTTACTGCTGCCCACACCCTTGTACTGCAGAACAGTCACACCTCTGGATTTTTGTTGACACCAAGCACCATTTACAATCAAAACTATTAGCTAATGAGAAAAAAAAAGACTGCATCATCCGTAACTGCCATCACTAGTTTTTTCTTTAATCTACCTGTTGCCCCTGTGCCTTTCAACCATAATACCTCATTAGGAAGTACATAAAGGAACCAGAAAAAAAATATGCCTTAACTGGTGTTCCCTACCCCTCCAACCAAAAAAAATAAATACATAAAATAAAAAGAACTACAAAATAACACATTTTGCTGATTTATCGATCCAAAGGGGTTTTTGCTGGAGGAACAAGTGTTTGGGTTAGAATTTTTATACATTATTGGCAGAAAAACATTTTAGTGACATAATTTTTACAAAATGTAAGCTCTATTATCACATAGAGACAAAAACATATGATGACACTATTAAAACTTACCTTTTGAACCATTGATATCGAACAAAAAACATGGGGCACCCCCATATGAACAATATCCCACATGCTATTCATTCCATGGTGAATAGTGCGTGTAACCAAATTGTGCTAACAGAAGGAGGGTTTTAAAACAGCATGGTTAAATAAAACATAAGTTGTATATGCACTATATACTGTGGCACACATACACAAATGCCTCAGTCTTTGTACCCACAAAATATACTTTAATTGTTGTGGCCACAATAAACGTAAAGCTCAGCGCCACAACAAACATAAACTTCATCTGAGCCTACCTTAAAGAAGAGCTTTATTAAAATAGTCAGGGTATTACATAGTAATTAGTACCTTTTGAGACAATGAACACTTTGGTCAGCAGTATATAGTGGACAAAAAAATGGGTCAGTGCATGGGTCAGGAGTATGCAATGTTATCACAGTCTGGGGTCAGGCTCAGAGACCAACAGCTGTAGCAGTAGAGAGGTTCATAGGTAGCCAGCTGGAATTTTACAAGCAGATGCCCCTAGTGCAGGGGTGGCTGGAGGGTCACAGTTGCCCACCACTGCCTTAGTATATGATGCAGGCTCAACTGAGGCATGTATTTTAAGCACTAACTAGTATTAACCAGAGCTCCTGTGTGTTCATACTAGGTTACAGTCCTCAGTATCGCCCCAACAGGGATTGAGCCAGCTGGATCTAGTAGCAGATATAGCAAGTAGGGATCAAGAAGAAGCATAGTCAGTAAACAAGCCAAAGGTCAGTAACAAGTAGTAGCTGGATGGGATTAGACAGAAGAGTAGTCAATAACCAAGGCTAAGGTCAATAACAATTGGCAGCGAAGAGAAAGACACCAGCAGGTATGGAGAGACCACAATAATTTGGCAAGCAGGAAGCGAGAGACATGGTTTAAATCAGGAAGTTCATGGGAGGAGCAAATAGTTTAAGGTTCACTAGAAACAATACACAAAGCAAGGTTATTCAAGGAATCAGGCAGGGAGCTGTCTAGCATCCCTGGTGGCAAAGTAAGCAGGGCCACAGTCACATACCCCCGAGGCTTCAGGTTCAGACCCAGGTCTAGACAAATGTACATGCTGTTTATAGTGCAGATGAGAGGACTGTGTAATGCACAGAGTGCAGACGTCAGGAATAGGGATGAACTGCCAGTTCAGACTGAATTTTGCTTGTTTGGAGTTTTGACAAATGGACAAACTAAATTGGTGATCAGTTAAGTTGAATCTCTGGGGGGAGTGGGAAGTGATACAATTAGCAGCAGTTTTAATACTGCTGTTTAATGTGACAGCTGCCCCTCTGGCTGAGTGTAATGAAGCAAGCAACTCCAAGGGGCTTCAGTCACATAAACAAATGCTCCATTCAGGAGGTATGGGCCATGGCACATGTGTGAATGAGGCCCAAATTACAGATTGTCACTGCAGTTTTAAATTCTATGTAAACCCAGAATATTTTGTTTATAGTATTTTTGGCACCAAGCCTTACAGTATGCAGTTTTATTAAACTGTGTTTTTGTGGATTTTATTACATAGATTCATACCTGGAGATCCTGCCAGTAGATGCACTTCCTGTTGGGGGCTGACAACACTAAGCTGCTGTCTATCAGGTATATCAGATAGGCAACCCAACGGCCAGTTGAGGGAGCTCAGTTGATGGGCTGACAATGCTGCTGTTTCTTGCAAAGAAGTGGCTTAGTGTTCCCAATTTACAACAGGAAGTACTGCACCAGTAGGATCTTCAGATAGGAAACTTTGCACAATATTCACAAAAAAAACTGTTTGTTTAAGGAAACAATATACAGTAAAGGAAATATGCTTAAAATAGATTGTTAGGTTTACATATACTTTAAACATGGAAATTGCACTGACAGCACAGAGAAAAGTACAATAGCAGTATTTCTTCAATTCCCTTAAACTGTATCTAATGCTTATTTTAGTAAATTACCAAATTAACAGCAGCCATCACCCTTTCCCTTCCTTCTCCATGGTGTACAACATGTAAAATGATGGTCTGCTTTGACATTGGGAACTTTCTGTATAGGGAATTGCTCACTTCACCCATGCTGATAAGAAGGCTCTGTGCTGGGCCATAGGACATCTGGTAATTCTGGGGAGGCCTCCCAATATAAAAATGCCCATGTATCATACTTGATCCTCAAGCAAAACTTTCTCATCCACCACAAACTTTAGTGTGGATCTGTT